CTCAGTGAGTTACCTTATTACAAGGGAAGAAGTGAGGTAAGAAAAAATGAGGACAATCTAAGGTTTTGGCAGTAAATGTACGAATGTGTCAAGCATGGTTTAATGTGTTACGAAGCACTTGTAAGAAATTGGCATTGCTATGAAAGAAAATGGACAAAATACTTCGTATTACATAGTAAATTTTGGACTTTGCATAAGTAGTACAGAATACAGAGTACATACTTTTTCATGACAAATAAGCGCAATGAAAATTTGTTGTTCCAACTTATGAGTATATATATTGAAAGTAAATTACACTTAATTGATAATTTAGGCAACGTTTGTTTGAATTTGTTCTTTAAATTAAATCACATTCTTTGTATGCTAGCACTATCTATTAACCGATTATGGAGTATACAATTATACTTTGTACTTAGTATGTTGGAAAGCTTTAAAATACTACATCTATACTTCTCATTATATACTTCCTCATTATATACTTTGTATATACATCATCTCTATTATGTTTATAATAAAATTGTCTACAATAATTGTTATTTTGAGACAGAAGAGGTAGAACAGTTGGCTATCTCTTCGACAATCTTTTAGATAATGTGTAGTTAGGGGTCAAATCGACAAATCCTACCATGCATCCTTTAGAAAGAATTTTCCCTAAATTTCTGTACGAGATACCTTACGTGTCATAAACTCTATGTATCTTGTTCATATTATCATTCTCATTATTAACATGCATGTTAAACTAGAATTGAATATGTTTTGATATTTATTGTAGGAACCTTAAATTCAATATTATTAACATAGAAATTAAAGAAAACACCCATAAAACAACATTTTACTCCGTACCATACACTCATAAAAAGCAAAATATTGACATAATTTAAGCAACCCATAAAAAAATGATAGTGTCCATGCATGATTTCCATGGGTAAAGCAATAAAAATAAAGAAGTTAAAGGTCCAATTTGGTTTGTGCAAATTGTGGTACGTCCATCATTATTAGTAACGCAATTATATGGTTAAATCATCATTAACATTACTTTTGGCTTTTGCTGAATTGTAGAGTCAGTCGATCTTATCAAGATGCATCCAATTAATTATAAAAGTAGTATAATTAATTACTACAATTATAGTAATACTATAATTAGTAACCTAGCTAAAGCAAGGTAGCTAGATGCAGCTGTATCACAATAATTATGGAGCCTAACCATAGGATGATGGGAGCCTTCCTCAGGTGAAATGAACCTCCTCCTAACCCCGCACGTGCGAACCTCACCTATACAAAGAAGGGTTACTTGTCACACGTGTTAGAAAATGTCAAACTTGTTGACATAATTGGCCGAAAGCTATCCTCTTTCCGACATGTACCAACGAGTCAACGACGCTATCCAGTTAAAATTAAAATTGTTTTAAACAATGGAATGTGTTTTTTAAGTTGCATTATGACAAATTAGGGAGAAAAGAGAGAATGAATAGCTTCATTATTATTCATCGATAGGTAGAGTATTTATACAAAACCTACCCTCATAAGATAGGAAACAATATTCCTAAAGATATACTAACATAACCATAAACCCTAAAGATATATTATCAAAATAATATCTTAACATAAATATCCTAAATATATTATTTTCTGAATGATATCTACGGAAATATATCATACATATATTTTCCGATATCTCATATCTCTAACACCCTCCCGCAATCGTAACGGCAGTAACACGAACGTTGCGATTGGAAATTCTTCAATTTGTTGAAGTCGAGATGCACACTCTTGTGATGTCGCCTTCAATTTTTTGTTTCTTCTTTTTCAACGATGAGAACGTTCATCTTTTCGAACTCATCAGTCATCAATCAAACAGGAACGTCATTCTTTTGGAACCTGCAAATAACAATTTTTGGTTTTTCCTGAGCAAAACCGAGCTCCAATCAAATATTGGTTTTTCAAGATTAAACCAAACTCAAATCTTTTATTGGTCTTCAGAGTAAACCACACTCTCATATCCAAATGAGCAAAATCAGCTCGAATCAACTCACAAACCTTGTCTCACGGCACAAGGAGAATCAAATATATCTTGTCTCACGACAAAAGAGAGCCGATTTTTTTTTTAATATTGCGTCAAGCATAACGCTATTTAATGTCTTCATCTCCAAAGATGCGTTATAGTGGAGGAAGTCCACTCACATACTCCCACAAAAAAAAATTCTCCCAAAAAAAAAATTCACATACACATATGATTAACGTGTACTAGCCCAAAAAAATAAAAATTTAAAGAGTATTAATATTGCATAACGGAAGCAAAATTTTGAATCCCACCGGTGGGTTTAACTTTCTAACCCACCGGCAGGGGGGAAAATTTTTGTGAGCGGTCCCAAGATTTAACCTGCTCTTGATACCATGACAAATTAGGGAGAAGAGAGAATGAATAGCAGCTTCATTATTATTCATCGATAGGTAAAATATTTATACAAAACCTACGCTCATAAAATAGGAAACAATATTCCTAAAGATATACTAACATAACCATAAACCCTAAAGATATATTCTCAAAATAATATCTTAACATAAATATCTTAAATATATTATTCTCTGAATGATATCTACGGAAAATATATCATATACATATTTTCCGATATCTCATATCTCTAACACATTACTTGTATTTGGCATTGTTTATTTCTTACAAATAAAGAGAGTTACAAAACAAAATAAATAAATAAATAAATACATAAACAATATTGGCAAAATTCAATCTAATATTCTTAAATGTTATGTATAATTTTCAACACATAATTAACTAAAGTAATTGACATTTACACAAAGATTATATGTTGTTTGAATTTATTTAAGGGCTTATAATAATTAATACTAATTAGAGGTTGTATTTAGTTATTTACCAAGTCCTTGCTCATACATATTTTTGCAACATTTTTTTTAAAAGGTAGTTATATGTAAAAATAAAAAAAAAAAGATTTAAAAGGTGGTTTATTGCAAAATATTCTTTTAACAATTAATATAGTATATCTGATTTTTTTTTTCAACATAATAAAATTTTTAAAAGGAAAATTTGTCAGGAAAAACCTTTTAAAGTGACCTTTTTGTCAGAAAAAACCTTTTAAAATTTTTTTGGCCAAAGAAAACCTTTTTAAAAAATTTTTTTTTCAAGAAAGCCAAAACCCACTTTCCGACGTTGACTCACCATTCTCCGGCGTTGACCACGTGTTTTACAACATGTGCCATGCATATGACCCCTATTTTTCTAATTACACCCCACTTTGCCTAATTTAACACCCTTTTCCCTCCAATTAAACACTCTCTCTCCTACTCTCTCTCTCTCTCCTACTCTCTGTGAATACATCGAGGCCATTAACCCAGGATTATCATGGGTTCATGAAGTCCTCTTCGCAACAGGAAAACCACAACCACACCTCGTAACACCTCCTCGACCCATAGTCGCTGCATAATTGAGAAAAATTAAAAAGGGGAAAAAAAACCCTAATTCTCAATCAAGAATCGAAAAAGTCAGAGTTACCAAATTAATCACTTACCTGTTGTCGAAAATTAGTGACAAAGCCTTCTACTGCTTCGATTTTGATGCACTCCAACAATGGCGTGAGAATTTGAAAACACAAAGGAAAGAAGGAGATGAAATAGAATACAGAGAGTAAGAGAGAGAGAGAGAGAGAGAGAGAGAGAGAGAGAGAGAGAGAGTAGGAGGAGAGAGAGTGTTTAATTGAAGGGAAAAGGGTGTTAAATTAGACAAAGTGGGGTGTAATTAGGAAAATAGGGGTCATGTGCATGGCACATGTTGTAAAACATGTGGTCAATGCCGGAGAATTGTGAGTCAACGTTAGAAAGTGGGTTTTGGCTTTCTTGAACAAAAATTTTTTTAAAAGGTTTTCTTTGGCCAAAAAAATTTTAAAAGGTTTTTTCTGACAAATTTTCCTTTTTAAAATTTTAATTTAAAGAACGCATCGTGATTAACCGGAATGGATCCAATTAAGCAACTAGGTTTTCCCTTCCCTGGTTTCCAGGCAACGAGTATGAGTCCATGCAATAATATTATGTCATTATCCAATTAGCAATAAAGTTTCCGGATCATCTCACTTAATGACAAATATACTCACCTAATAATTATTTGTATTATGTTGAGGACTAATTATGAGAGAATGTTCAAAAGCTAATCTCTTGAAGTCAGTCATGTAGTGATCTTTTCTTTACAAGATCCATGTAAAGAGGAGAGCATCCGACTCATTTTTATTTATTAGTTTTGATAATACTCGTATTAATTAACTTCAAAGCAATGATTATGACGGGAGTAGCAAAGTTACTTAGCTGTCACAAGACTCGCAACTAGTGACCCAAATTATATTATTATTTTTTTTAAAAAAAAATATGGCCAATTAAATAAATTAAAATAGCTGATCTATGTGCCATATGTTGTTCCCAGCTCTAAAGCGCTTTATATTTTCCCAATTTTAAAACCAATCGATTAGGTCATTTGTGGTTAAACATTAGGCGTTATGCAATAATCTATTGTTTTTTGTTTTTTTTTTTTTTTTTTTTTTTGAACAAAAAGAATTGTCTAATTATAACAACTGGTCAACTGGAGTGAGCTCATGTATAAATTAACATGGGATGTATCCAATTAGTGATAAAGCAAAATAAATAATCAATAATAATACGAAGTATGGAATAAGTCTTGGCAACACAGTTGTGAAATTAGTTGTTTGTATATTAAGCGATTTATGCTGTAGGTTCAGAATGAAATTAATTGAAATTGGTTTTTCATACAAACATGCAACTGAAGAATACTTTTCAATTTGTTAAATTGTATTGAATAATATTCACTGTAAATTGTATATCACATAAACGGCCGCATACAAATATATATAGGCTAGGTTACTTGGAGGGCAAGACCAAAATAACCTAAAGATATTCACAAAATAGTCTAAGATATATTTCCCAAATATTCACAATCTTATCTTTCCTAATACCCCCCCTCAAGTTGGAGAGTACGGATCTCGGACACCCAACTTGCGAAGTAGAAACTCGAATTTAGCTTTTCCCAAAGCTTTTGTAAAAATGTTGGCCAACTGAACCGTCATAGGAACATACGAGGGTATAATCGTCCCATCTGTAATCGCATCCCGAACAAAATGACAATCTAACTCAATATGTTTTGTTCGTTCATGAAACACTGGATTCTGCGCAATGTATAACGCAGATTGACTATCACAATAAAGGTGCATCTCATTCTCATGTCGAACACCTAAATCACCAAGTAGTCGCTTCAACCACTTTAATTCACAAGTCGTCGCATTCATACAACGATATTCTGCTTCTGACGAAGAGAGAGCTACAGTAGGCTGCTTCTTGGTTTTCCAAGATACAGGGGACAAACCAAGAAGCACAAACCAACCACCCAAAGACCGTCGGGATAGAGGACATCCTGCCCAATCAGAATCACACCAACCTTCCTACTGCAAAGCAATATCAGATCTCAATAAAATACCCTGTCCCGGACTCTTCTTCAAATATCTAACAACTCGCAGAGCTACTTCCCAATGATCAATCCTGGGTTTTTGCATAAACTGTGACAAAATGTGAACTGAATATGCTAAATCGGGTCTCGTAACAGACAAATAAATCAGTCGACCTATGAGGCGACAATATTTCTCAATATCATGAAAATACTCTTCCTGAGATAGTGCTAACTTGTGATTTTGTTCCATAGGGAACTCTGCAGGTTTAGCATCAAGTAAACCTGCTTCAGTGATTATATCCAATGCATACTTCCTCTGGAAAATAAAAATTCCCTGTTTGTTCCGGGCTACCTCTAGCCCCAAAAAATATTTCAACACTCCAAGATCTTTCATCTTGAAACAATCTCCCAGTTATGATTTAAAACCGAGCATAGCATTTTTATCATTGCCTGCAACAATTAAATCATCCGCATATACTAACACGTTAAGCTGCATTTTACCCTTTGTCAGAGTAAACAAAGAATAATCATAATATGACTGTTTAAAGCCATAATCTTTCAAAGTTGTAGTGATCTTTGCAAACCAGCATCGAGGAGCTTGTTTAAGCCCGTACAACGATTTCCGCATCCTGCAAACTTTGTCAGAATTATCTTTCTCAAAACCAGGGGGAATTTTCATATATACCTCTTCTTCCAAATCACCATGAAGAAATGCATTATGAACGTCCATTTGATGGACTTCCCAATTTTTCACCGCCGCTACTGCAAGAAAGGTTCGAACAGTCACCATTTTTGCCACCGGAGCAAACGTCTCATTGTAGTCTAAACCTTCAACCTGATGATTGCCGAAGATGACTAATATTGCTTTTAATCTCTGCAAATTCCCATGCTCATCATATTTCTCTTTATACACCTACTTGCTCCCGAGTGCCTTTTTACCAGGTGGCAATTTTTCTAGCACCCAAGTACCCTGTTCTTCAAGTGCCTGTATCTCATCTGCCATTGCCTTTCTCCAACCCTCGTGTTTCATGGCCTCCCTGAAACTTTTGGGTTCATTTCCTCCTGTAATAGCAGCAATATATTTTCTATGTTTCACAGAAAACCGGTGAGAATCAACAAAATGTATTATAAGGTAAACAGTACCTGAGGAAGACGATGTCACGAGTGAACTTTGAGTATGTGTAGATGGACTTTTATTTCGAATAGTATGCGTCACAAAATCACGGAGTTTAACCGAGGGATACTTCGGTCTCATGCCTTTACCTAAGGCACCATCACTGCCACTCTCGGCCTGCTGTGAAGGTTGTGCATATGGCACGGGCTGCTGGTGTTGCTCGTCTCCCAGCCTGCCCCCCAGGGGCCCTGCACCGCCCAGCTGCGGCAGAGGACCCAGCTTGCTGATCTTGGTGGCTGGCAGTCCCCTCCGCAGGCTGGCTGCGGGCAGCCTCTTCATGCCGCAGGTCAGCTGCGGTGTGGTCTGTCCCACCATCTTCACACCCCTCATCATCTCCTAAACGACCCTCTACATGCCCCTCAACATCATCCAAATGCCCCTCATCCATCACACTAGCAATTTCATCATCACTCGCCCCCTCATCTCCGCTCACCAATCTGCCAGGAACAAAAATAGGAGGTGTAGGTGGAGTAGTATATGGGAATTCTTGTTCCATAAAACGCACATCCCTTGAAACAAAAAATTCTTTGGTCTCTAAATCATAGACTTTCCACCCTTTTTTTCCGAAAGGATACCCAACAAAAACACACTTCCTGCTTCTACTAGCAAATTTATCCCCTTTACTCTGTAGGTTATATGCAAAACATAAACACCCTAATATGCTCATATGAAGGTTGTTTGTTGAATAAAATTTGAAAGGGGGTTTTATAATCAAGTAATCGCGAGGGGGTTCGATTAATTAAATGACAAGCCGCTTGCACACACTCCCCCCAAAATTTTATGGGTAAATTGGCTTGAAAACGAAGGGCTCTAGCTACATTTAAAATGTGTTGATGTTTCCGCTCAACTCTCCCATTTTGTTGAGGTGTGCCTACACAAGATGTCTCAAAATATATGTCATTCTTAAAAAAATACTCCTTCAAAGAATTAAACTCCGTACCATTATCACTACGCACAATTTTAATTTCTTGAGAAAATTGACGTTTCACAATAGCAACAAAATTATAAAACATGTATTCAACTTCCGTTTTATTTCTCAATAAATAAGTCCACACACCCCTAGAGTAATCATCAACGATAGTTAAAAAATAATAAGAACCACAAGATGATGGAGTCTTGTAAGGTCCCCACAAATCTAAATGCACTAGCTCAAATATCCGACTAGCTTTATTTTGACTCAAAGGAAAGCTACTCCTATGTTGTTTTGCCCTAGGACATACATCACAGGATTTAAATCTACTACTACGACTCACAAACGGAAGTTGCTCAAGAACTTTTCCCGAAGGATGCCCCAAACGTTGATGCCACAACTTTGTAGATTGATCCCCATCCGTCTTCAAAGTCTTCACTGTTGGAACACCTCGGAAATAATAAATTCCATCCACACGTTCACCCGCTCCAATCACTTTCCTCGTCGTTAGGTCCTGAATAACACAAAGTTTGTTAGTAAATTGCATAATACAATTCGATTCATCACTTAATTGAGTTGCGGAAATTAAATTGCAATTCAATTGAGGCACATAAAGAATGTTTGTAATCATCTAGCCGCCATCCAATATGACTGTGCCTATTTTAGAGGCCTTAGCATACGTTCCATCCGGCAATCCCACCGGACAATGAGTCACATTAGTCACATTTGTCAAATAAGAAAGGTCACAAGTCACATGATTCGAGGCTCCGGTATCAATTATCCAACCCAAGTCGTGCTTACCGCGCAATTTGTGGATCTCACAAGGCTCTTGATACCATATTAAATTGTATTGAATAATATTCACTGTAAATTGTATATCACATAAACGGCCGCATACAAATATATATAGGCTAGGTTACTTGGAGGGCAAGATCAAAATAACCTAAAGATATTCACAAAATACTCTAAGATATATTTCCCAAATATTCACAATCTTATCTTTCCTAATACAATTACATTTTAAATCTTAAAACTAGTTTTTCTCCTTTCATGTTTTGTAAGCAATATTCATTTTTCGAGAAAACATATTCCAACTAACTAAACACGCACTTTTTATCTAATTAAAAAAATCTTCTTTAAGTTAAATATAATCTACTAGCATCTATACGTAAATAGACTGGTCATTTACTGGCCTCAGGCCAAACAATAAGTAAACAGAGTAATTGTTAGGCTCACATCATCCTTTATCTTATAAGACAATTTCAATTCTAGTGTAGAAATTTTTTCTAACATAAATAGACAGACCGTCAAAGTAATCAACCAATCTAGAGAAGAGAAGAAATAGAACTACAAAACAAAACAATAGGAGGCTCAACTCATACGCCCATACCTCTCTAAATCACTTGAAAACGTCTTTGCTTTAATTAAAACAAACACTATTCTCTTTCCATGCCGTCCAAAAAGAGTTGGGTCTACTCTACAAGAAGATCAACTCCACAGCTGGCGCCTTTGGCTAATACTGCCCCTTATTTCTTGGGCAACCCCTCTTTTCCCCCCCCTATTCAATAACAATATCCCAAAACCCTCCAATCTTCATTCAAACTTCATTATCTTTATTATATTTTCCCTTTAATTATTTTTTAATTTTTATTATAATATTACTATTTTTCTTATTTTCTACGTTTTTAATTTGCTAAGCTAGCTACTTCCTTTGTCTTTCTCTTCATCTTTTATCATTGCATTACCCAATTCTTAGCTGGACAATTCCTTACTTTTCCTAGTATAAATACTCCTTCCTTCTTTTCATTACTCTCATCAAACTTAAACCTTCTTTTCATTCAAACTTAACAAAAACAAATATATATTATTTCATAAATTAAAATGGCTTATAGTAATTCTCATTTCTTAATAATAGCCACTCTTCTAGTAGTGTCTTGCTTCTTGCTACCTTGCTCGGCTACGGCCCCTCGCAAGCTAGCTCTTGTGCAACCTGAACCCCTTATACTCGAATACCACAACGGCCCCCTCCTTAAAGGTAATTTATTCGTCAATCTTATTTGGTATGGCAAGTTCACCCCAATCCAACGTTCCATAATCATTGACTTCATACAGTCACTGTCCAGCACCTCAGCACGTACACCACAACCGTCGGTTTCATCATGGTGGCAGACTATCGAGAGGTATAGGGGAGGACCATCCACCCTTACCTTAGGGAAACAATTCCTCGACCAAACATACTCCCTAGGAAAAGTCCTAACCCCAGCTCAAATCCTCGCTTTAGCCTCTAAACTCCCTCATAGGAACTCAATTAACGTGGTTTTAACGTCTGCTGACGTAACACCGGACGAGTTTTGCATGAGCACGTGCGGTGCACATGGGTCAGGTTTAGCGGGAAAACATAAGAAAATTAAGTTTGCTTATGCATGGGTGGGTAACCCGGAAAAACAATGTCCGGGTCAGTGTGCATGGCCCTTTCATCAGCCCATTTACGGCCCACAAACCCCACCACTCGTCGCCCCGAATAACGACGTTGGTATTGATGGTATGATTATGAACTTGGCTACCGTGTTAGCTGGAGCTGTAACAAACCCGTTTGATAACGGGTATTTTCAAGGCCCGGCTGATGGTGGGTTGGAAGCGGTATCGGCTTGTACGGGTATATTTGGGTCGGGTTCATACCCGGGTTATCCGGGTAAGCTCCTAATTGACCGAACAACCGGGGCAAGTTATAACGCATATGGGGCCCACGGGCGTAAGTATTTGGTTCCAGCTATGTGGGACCCGAAAACTTCGGCTTGTAAAACTCTTGTATGAGGCGCCTTGCCTAGCACTTTGGGTACACTAGTACTCCGTAGTATCTTTTGGTCAAACAGAAAGAAGAAGAAAAAAAAGTGTGTAAATATACGCTTATTCTTTAATACATTTGAAGCATGTAGAGTTGCATGTTGTATCATCTACTTGATTGTCTCTATTTGTATTACATTATATTGATCATTGTTTTAGTAATTATGAAGAAACATATTTGTCTTTATCAATTCGATTTTTGTATTAGCTATATAATTAATGTGTTAAAGGTAATATCATGTTATTTTAGTACTAGTTTAATCTAATTTTGAGCTAAGTGATAATGCTTTACAATTTCACTCGTTGATTATTGTTGCCTCTTTTCATTTGAGATTATTAATAATTTTGGACATTTTAGACGGTTCTTAAAACATTGTCCGAGCTACGTGGTGCCTAGTTTGAGTGCAGTGTTATGCATGTAATGGATGAAATGAATAGAAATGGGTTCATGTAGTAGATGCATGCT